CACACGAACAATCAAATACAATAAATTAACAAAAAAATACAATAATTTTTACTTCAATGAATGTACAATAACTTCAGCCAAAGATGAGATATTAATTTAACTAATGATGATGATAGCAAGAGTGTTTTATACAGTACCTATACAAGTGACTATTATTATAAAGAAAATGAAATAGGGTTTTCTTCTATTGTCAGTAGTTTTTAGTTTTTCTAATTCTAAATAACATTTGAACATATTGCTAACACCCAATCACTGTCACTGGTTTTTTTGTACAAAACTATATACTTATAGGTTCACAATATGCTTATAAGACAGCCCTAGAGATATAAAGTCTGGGGGCTTGCACAGAAATGGCTATAAATTAAGTAAAATGAAGAATTTATTATTTTATAAAATAATTAGAATGTAGACGTGTACTTACCTCTCACAATGCTTTCAGTTGTGCACGGGATGAACGTGAATAGGTATTGTGATTGTACACTCATTCGTAAAAGCCGATTACGATTGAATGAACTGTAAATTGCGTAAGAGATGTTGCCCATTTTGTTTGTTAAGTTCTTTTTTATATGTAGTAATAGTTAGATGTTGCAATTGATTTTCTATAACTTTATTTGCGATCTTTTTAAATTTTCCCTCCTCGGAAAACTTTTACCAACTCTCTCTCTTTGTTTTAAGCTGCTAGCTGTGCCCGCCACGGGTAATTCAACGGTTTGAAGTTTATATTTTTAGCGTGAAATACTAATTATTTAACTACAATACAAGTAGCGTAAATTTGCCTTCATAACATCCACTATCTTTTTCTCTATCGCCAGTAAAACACTCTTACTCGTAGAAATTCATCCGCCATTTTATATCCGAATATTACGTCATTTGGCGACTATAAAGATACAAACAAATTAAAATGTTAGAAAACAGTTTTTTTAACATTTAGATGCATTTGGTAAAAACAACAAAAAGATCTATTTTTATCTTTATTTTAAATTATATTTAATTATCTCATTTTAGTATATGAGATAAATAAATAAAAATAAAAAATAAAAAAGCCTTTTATTTCATGCAATAAATATCCAATATTAACTTCTTTTTTTTTGTTTCTTTGTTTTTTGTTTTTTTTTTTTGTACACTAGTTACAATCATGAAAACGATATATAAAATGTGGTTTGAAAAGCGATAGGTACGAGTATATTAAGAACTTATTTCATCATATATGTTTCATGTTCCACAAAATGATTATCAAAATACAATATAGAATTGTTTTGTTAATAGATTAAATTAAAATAAATAAATAAACTTTGATTGCTCTTATAATAATAATGTTAATTATTAATCTATCTCTATCTACCTCTATATCATTGTTTCGTTTTTGGAAGGAAATATGTTTCCCTAGATAAATATAGCTCTCGACGTACTCCACCGGTGTGTTGTCTAGACATATAGAGTTTTGTGCGGCATTTGTCATGAGTTTTGTTTTGCACAGGTTCATTTCTAGTCCTGCTTCTCTGCTTGCTTGTTGTATTGTGACTAACATTGACTCCAGCTCGGTGCTATTTTCTGCTAGTAGGACAATGTCATCGGCAAACCTCAGGTGGCTGATATATTTACCTTTTATACATATACCGGTTTTTTCCCAATTTAATTTGCCGATAATCGATTCCAGTACTGCTATAAATAGTCGAGGTGATAGGGGGTCGCCTTGTCTTACCCCTCTCTTGATGGGAATGGGTTCTCCTGTGCTCTCCAGTTTTACTCTACTAATATTGTGTTCATATAAGTATTTTAAGACTTGTACGTACCTTTCCTCCACTTTTTGTGATTGTAAAGCTCTCCATATTACGGGGTGTAGTATTGTATCAAAAGCTTTCTGATAGTCAACAAATCCTATGTAGAGTGAACGTTGAAATTCTTGATATTTCTCTATAATCAGTTCTAAAGAATGGATGTGGTCTATGGTGGAAAAACCCCTTCGGAATCCCGCTTGTTCGATTGGTTGGCTTTTCTCTAATGTAGAACTGATTCTTTTCTCTATAGTCGAAGCGAATAGCTTATAAAGAGTAGGAAGGAGGCTAATTGGCCGGTAATTGCCTATGTTTAGTGGGTCGCCCTTTTTGAACAGCAGTATTATATCAGACTCTGACCACTGTGTAGGTGTTGTAGAGGAGCTTAATATTAGGTTAAATAAATGAGTCAAAGGGTCTACCAGAAAGGGACCTGCTATTTTTATGGCCTCGTTCGTTATTCTGTCAGGTCCTGGGCTCTTCTCTGCTTTTAATCTTTTAATTCCCATTATAATTTCTGTTTCGTCGACTGGTTTTATCTCTATGCCATTGCCATTGTCATCAAATTTTAATTCATTTTGATCAACATATTGACGTACTGGAGCATTGTACAAGTTTTCATAAAAGCTGGTTGCTATGTTCAGTATACCTTTACGGTCGTACGTTGTATTTTGAGCGTCGTGAAGTCCTTCTATCCATACTTTATGAGATCGCAGTTCCTTGTAAGCTTTTTTAAGACTTCCTGTAAAGTTAATGTGCTTTTCAATAGTAATCTTACGATGAGTCGCGTAGTCTCTTCGAACGTATTTACTTATTAGTTTGTACAATGCTTTCAATTCATTTTTCATAGTTCGCGTCTTTGGTTTGATTTTTTGTAGCGCCCTTCTACGTTGTATTAGCTCTGTAGTATGGGCAGATATCGCACTGCTACTTACTCTATCTCTGTTGTGAATAAGAGCTTTCTTCAAGCTAGTATCTAAAATATTAAGTATTTTGTCATAGCATTCCTGTACAGAGTTGGTTTGTTGGCAGTGTCTAAGGTCTTCGTTGTATTCGGTGAGTGACTGTTTAAATCTCGATATTTAGAGTCGAGTATATGAGATATTCCACTAAAATAATACACAATGACAGCAAACTCCGATTTCTCATTTAGATAAGAGGGGTTGTTTTGGCAGTTAAAACATAAATTAGGATAAGTATAATTTTGACAATGAATACTGAAGTTTTTTTGAGGATTCTCAGAAGGTATAAATCAAAATTATCATATATTAGACTTGCAGGAAGATAGTTTAGCTATGGCATATCATGGCAAGTGTAAATCATTGAAATGTTCTATTATTTCTTAGCCACAAAGAATCGAATAATATTTATGCGGCTGAGGTCAAGGTCACGATTGCAATAGGTATAATGTTAGTAGGTAAAATGCCTATTAATATTAATATATTCTAATAGATCCTAAAAATTGTTCTTTACAATAAAAATAAACATTTTTTATGTAATAATTTTCTTTTTTGACCGTTTTCAAAAAAAAAGGAAAAGGAATTCGCTGTTTTTTTTTATCCTTGTTACCTCAGAACTCCGTCTCTTGTAAATAGATTATGCAAGTTATTTGTATTAAAAAGACACTCTCCCTTTGCTCACATTTTACCTAAAAGTGGAAAATACACTTTACTACACTGCATCAGGATGTATCTAATAGTGTTGAAATCGATGATATTTAAAAAAAAACATAAATTTAGTTCTTGATTAGTGTCAGATTATTATTTAGACGTAACCTAATTTACAACGTCTGTAGTCAGCTGTGCAAACGTTATAGTTTTGGACAGATTGGACAGCTGTGTTCCTTTTCAAACCATGGGTTCAAACAAAATGAAATACTACCGCTCTCCCAGCTTTATATATATTTGGAAGTAATACATCACATCATGGCCAAATCAAAAATCTCAAAATATGATCCAATAATGTGTATTGTATGTACAATTAATTGTCTAATAATTTTAAATCGTTAACTTTTCAAATATTTAAACACTATCTTCGAATACCTTTTATAGAAGTGTTAAATTAGAAAGAATATTAATTAGAAACTCATTTAAGGATTAACTTAAATGACTTTCTAACTGAGGGATTTGACTAAAAAAGGTTTGACATTAAATTTTTTTTTTACTTTGTTCTATTTAATTACTTTTATTGTTCCGATGTATTTAATGGATGCTCATTAATTCTTATATTACTTATGTATGTTAATTAATTAATTGCATTCTAAATCCTCTTTAAAATGTTAATTTATTTATTGTATTTGATTTCATTTAACTCATTTCTTTTCGTAATTAAATTATAACCATTAAAGCACCTAAATGAAAATCTTTTTACACCAGAAATGGTAGAATTTCAGAAACTAATGCATATTATATAACACTTAATGTACTATGTTCTAACAAATAAATGTATCTTTACAAAAGAATTTACATTTATTAGAATTGAAGAGGCGTATTTAGGCATTGGACATTTGACAGTTTCGGTTCAAACCCCAATCATTACAGTACCAAGTACCAAAGCGCGATGTAGACTACCTTAGAACCACATGTAACCAACGTTCATAATACTCTTTTTATAAAACTAAATTTCACTCGAATTTGTTGTAGTTGCAGAGTACAGTCGAAAAACAACAAATGAACATCGTCTTTTGTGTCAAACCTGACAACTAACTTAATTCTATCAAGATCACCGAAATATTGCAAACACAACACTTAAGTCAAAACAAAGAATATTATTTAATAATGAAACAATAAAACATACATATCTTAAAGTTAGGTTCGAACTCACAACTTGCAATCTCGAATATCTGACTTTTAGCTTTTAGGGCCAATTTTAATCATTCTAATATGCATAAGTTATAACTCTTTCATAATACGGACAAATAATTAAGGTTTTCAAAACACAAATTCATCATCATCATCATCATCATCAACAGTCTATAATAGTCCACTGCTGGACATAGGCCTCTCCTTAGACAGGAGGTTTACAAATTTAAAACAAATTATTTCAATAAAATTCGTTACGTTTAGTATTTCATGTAAACAAAAATCTAGGTTTTCTTCTCCGATGGTATCTTTAAATTGCAAAAGCATATAGCATAGGATATAGAACCATTGTTCTACCTAAATATCTTCACCAGAAAATATACCTTATAACGTAATAAATAAGCTTTTAATTACTTTCAAGAACTTACCTGTAAGGCACGCGTCCAGCTAAGAAGATATAAGTGGTATGAAGTAATCCAACTTGAATAGCAGCAAACGCGACCAGCACGTACACTCGAAGATGGAACCTTCCCGCTTGCCCCAATTGTCTCATAATACTATCGGTGTCCAATTCTTTAGACTTCTTTTCGTCCACACTTATATGTTTCGGCTTCTCGTCTCCAGTCATGATTTGAGTCTTGGTGTAAACCGTCTGTGGTCACCGACTGCCAACACAATACTGCACGCTGCACAGCCGTTGCAGCAGCAAGCTCAATAGTTACTCAGCACAATGTCGATGTTGATGAATTAGAAAGCCAATAGAGGGCCAAGGCTATGCGTTGTATACAAAATCTCTATGAAATGCTTGCTGAATACATCTCTACATGTCCACACCTACTGGAGTTCTGTTAGGGATCGACAATTGGTGCCATATATATCTTGTAAAGCGTGCCTTTTAAAATTCCACCCTGATATGATTTACAGTGTGGTTTTCAATTTATGGTATTCGTTAGTTTTAGAGATGTTCTCGGTATCCGGTTTTTGTCGTATCCGGCCATAAAAATATTCCTTTAAATTACATTAACAAAGTCCCATTCTTACACACTTTTGTTATTTGTAAGGAAAATAAAAAACTATTACCATGACGTTAGTTCTCCTTCTTAATCGTTACAGAACGAGAGAACTTAAATAGAACGAGCCCGTGTACTCTTATTCGGTCACTTATTTCCCTGTCATCTGATTCTAGGGAGAGGAAGTCAAAGGAAAGGACTTACTTGTGACTCTTGAGTTGTAGTAGCGGCAGTAGTCCTTAACCATCAGCCTGTTCGTTTAAACCCTTTATCATAAAAAAACCATGTATATTAAGGACCCGGCAAATACTGTCTTTACTCAGGCGAATTATATACTGCCTTTTAACGTTTGATTATTCATGAATTAATTTCCTAAATTATTTAAATATTTGTGAAGGGAAATGTGAAAGTAATCTTCCATTTACAATTTTGATACACATCTATCTCTTAAAAAGCCACTGCAATGATTTCGATCCTGATAAAACCACTTCAATAACATCCCCAACTAACGCTACTGTTTCAATAAAATTAAAGCACAAAATGTCCCCAAATAGTGTAATGACCTGTAACTAAAATATGAAAAAAAACGAGTTAGAATGGTTTTAACGAGGTTCCAAATATAATTTCCGGATATCCGTCAGCTCTGATGATATCTCTACCAATTCTCATAAATATCTATTGTAGTCTAAACAAGCGCTCGTTATGTTATCGATTTACATACGTCATGTGCAAATTACGAAGGTGAAATAATATTTATAATATATTTACATGGTTTTCCAAATGACACGAAATATTCGTTTTTATATTTAATGATGCCTGTGTCTGGATGATTAATGATTTTAATGATCGGGTGTTACTGATGATACTGTGCTACTGATCGGATAATAAGTGTAAGAACAAATACATAATACATAAATTAACTTCACGGATTAAGAATACGGAATGTCACCACTTTTATTCATCCGGAAGGTGTCGTAAGAGCCGACTAAGGGAGCAAACTACGCAGGACAACGGCACTGCAAAGAGAAGGAAAACTTGACCCAAACCTTATACCGATCCGCCTGGTCAGCGTAGTATAGAAGGCCAAAACCTACTTTCTAAGGAGAGGCCTATGTCTAGCATTGGACTGTTAGAGGCTGTTGATGATGATAATGAATATTTTAAGGGGTGTACAGAGGTGTACCTCTGTACACCCCTTCGGGGATATAAAAATAGGTAAGTATAAATATTTTACGGACTATAATTTTAGTGACATTTACGTAATACGGGGAAAACGTATTTTTTGTATCAACATAATAAATATTACTACTATCTATAAATATTACTTGTAAGGATGGATTGCAGAATGTGAGAATACTCGAACTTGCTGTTTCCGGAGATTCCAAGTCCCAATCTACTATCCCAATCTATATATAAATTATTAAGAGGGTCCCCGCTTTACAGCAAAATTTTTGTATATCATAATATTATTTTGCATAACAACGGATAGCCTAAAGTACATTTCGCAGAAAATAGTTTGGCAGACACTCATCTATATATATATAAGAGATTTCCACGTATATAGTCACTCATCACGATATCTCTGGAACCATTAGAGATAAAGACTTGAAATTTGATAGGAATATTCTTTTCACCGAGTAGAGGTCAGCTAAGAACGGATTTTAAGAAATTCAAAAAAAAAAAAAATATTAATAGCAAAACAACGTTTGCAGGGTCAGCTAGTTTATCATACATTCAAAACTCATAATTCTGTAAGTCATAATCATCTTGAGGCATAAACGTAACTCCATAATAATTAAAAAGTAGAACCATCATATCGCCAAAAGTTCACAGTCAGAATCGTCTTTGAGCATAAATTTCATATCTATCATATCTCAGTAAGTTTACAATAAGAATCATCTTTTGGCATATATGTTTTTCATATCTATAACAATTGAAAGACTATCTATCCATCATTTTGTAATTCTTACCAAAAAAATAAAATTGATTGATTGAACACTTATTTTTTTCGCGACGGATTTGGTTTTTATTTCCCTATAAGAAGCATGCAAACAAGCATACGCCATTCATGCAGGCAAGCACGCAGCATACAAGAATTAATGCACGCAGACATGCAGCATGCAAGCAAGAATGCAGCATGCAGCATATCTGTCACGGCTCCGGCGCTGCGGTGCTCTGGCGGTCCCACGCCTACGCGGCCTTAAATTGCACTCTAGGGGTAGGGCAGACACGAGCGGGGCCAGTTTCCGAAATTGTGGAAGACGGGGAAACTGGTCCTCATCCGAAAGGAGGGGCGCCCGGCGGACTCACCGTCCGCCTACCGGCACAAAGTGTTTCTTGACGAGGTGTGCAAGCTCTTTGAAAGAGTGATTGCAATGCGCCTCGTCAAGCATCTCGTGATGGTGGGGCCGGATCTGGCGGACAACCAGTACGGTTTCCGTCAGGGGCGCTCCACCGTGGATGCGATCATGCGCGTGAAGGCTCTGGCGGAGGAAGCAGTTTCCCGGGTCGAAGTGGTGTTGGCAGTGTCCTTGGACATCGCCAACGCGTTCAACACTCTGCCCTCGAGCTGCATCAGGGAGGGAGTGTATCACGAAGTGCCTCTCTACCTCCGCCGCATAGTCAGTCATATTTGTCGGAGAGAGCCGTCGTCTAAACCAGTAGGGCCGGTCTCGGTAGGCGTGAAATTTCGTGCGGTGTTCCGCAGGGGTCGGTGTTAGGGCCACTCTTGTGGAACATCGGCTACGACTGGGTGCTTCGTGGTGCCTTCTTGGATGGTGTCGCTGTCGTGTGCTACGCGACGACATGCTCGGGACGGCGCGCGGCAAGACGCACCACGAGGCAATCCTGAGGGCCAAGTTGGTTGGGGCAGCGCGTGCGTTGGCGTGGCTGCTGCCCAACATGAAGGGACCCCGATGACTCCTACAGGAGACTCTACTCGGGGGTTGTGCGGTCCATGGCCCTTTACAGGTGCCCAGCATGGGCGAGGGCCCTGAAGGCCAGCAACGTCGCGATACTGCGACGATCGCAGCGAGTGCTGGCCATCAGGATCATAAGGGGGTACCGCACGATCTCCTTTGAGGCGGCGAGTCTCCTGGCCGGAACTCCACCGTGGGACCTGGAGGCCAGAGCCCTTGCGGCTCTGTATCAGTGGCGCAAGGAGGCGAGGGAGTTGGGTCGGTGTCCCGAGATTCGAGAAATCGATGACCGGAAATCCCAACTCCGCCAGGTCATCATAGGGGAGTGGAGGGAATGACTCGGGCAACCGAGCGCCGGGCACGCCGTCATCGCGGTGGTAAGACCCGTTATGGAGGATTGGCTCGAGAGGCGTCACGGGACTTTCTCATACCGACTGACGCAGGTGATCACTGTTAAAGGATGTTTCGGGGATCACCTGTGTCTGATCCGCAAGGCGCCAACGCCTGAGTGTCACCGTGTGTGTGTGTGGCCAGACTGTGGACACGGCTCTCAACACGCTGGCAGAGTGCGCGGCGTGGGTTGAGCAGAGGCGAGACCTCGTGGCGGCCATCGGAGTGGGAGTTCTCTGCTCGATAGCCTGATTGCGGCTATCGTGCGGAGCGAGAGTGCGTGGAACTCTGCCGTCTCTTTCTGCGAGCAAGTTATGCTCGCGAAGGAGACGGCGGAGCGGGACCAGGAGAGGTTTAGGACTCTCCCGGCCCGCCAGGCCCGGAAAGGGCCAGGTACCGCCAGGCGCCAGAGGTCGCAGAACGACCTCCGTCCTCCATAAGCGCAGGCCTGGGAGTGACAGGTGAGGCCTTCTGTCACCCTAGCAGAAGCAGGCCGGGGTGGCGGCGAGCGCGTTGCGAAGCGCGCTCGCTTCCAGGGAGCAGAGGGAACATGGGGTTCCCACACGGGGGGGGTCGTCTACCTGTTGTTGTAGATGGCCCAAGGTATGTCGGGGCACCAGGGACTTCCTTTCTAGGGTATAGCTGGTTCCCCGGCTATTAGTACCCGAGACGGCGTGCGGTTTTAGTCGGTTCGAGTCCGACATGCCACCGATAGGTGGTATCCGAGGGGATTTCCGCACGGAAAAAAAAAGAAAAAAAAAAGGGGTAGGGCAGACAAGACTACGTGGAGTCGGTTTTGCAGCGATTCCTTTCTATCATAAACTTTTGTAGCAAGACATGACTTTTTAAGATAATATTTTTTTTTAGGGTTCAAAATATTATTTTATGGAAATATGCCTAAAAAAATTATTCCAAGTGAAATTCTGCCATCTTTATAGTATGAAAAGTGAAATTGTACCAAATAATCGTCGCTCTAAATAAACGTTATGCTAAACGAAATTATGCGGAATTTTAACTCTGCCAAAGGTACTACTACTAAAATATATAAAAATACTATATAATATAAAAATAGAAAATAATAATATATAAAAATACTAAATAAAATTATGCCATTGTAAATTCGGACATATAAACATTCGGCCGAAAATTATTTATACTCAATATTTTTTATGCCTGAAACATATTCGTTTAAAGAAGTTTCTGCCAAGTGTGTCATGCGAAATTAATTTCGGAGCATCAAGATTCTGCCTGATAGAGGGAACCCTTATTAAGAGCACACAGTTTCACTGACGTGAATTTTTTAGCGCTGT